TTTTTTTTTTTTTTGCCTCAGAGCGCTTTTGTGAAGTGGACTCAGATATTTGTTAAAGCTAACACTAAACATTTAGAATTAACGAAATTAAAATTCAAATTAATTAATTAGACATTTCTTTTAGTTAGGAATGGTTTTTAGAGACCACAGTCTGGATGTTGGGGTTGCTTGTCATGCTTATAATGTTTATTATGTTTTCACTGATTTTAGGACTTTTTAGTGAAGAGTGCAGGGAATTATATATATATTTCTGGGGAGAAAACAAATCATTAATTTTTTTTTCCATCTAAAGTTAATATTACAGGATTGAAAGTCTGATTCTACATTTGTAACTTTCTTTTATGCTAGAAATCCTTTTTCCTAACAATAATATAATACTTACTCATTTGCTTTATTGTGTAATATATGAAAATGGTTTCAAAATAATACCAGAATTACTGCTAACAATAAGCCTACTTATGAAATTTAAATTTCTTTGCAATTATCTTAGACACCAATAATGTATTCTACTAGGATGCAGTCAAATACAGTGTTGTAAAATATCTTGAAATATTTCTTTGTGTGTGTGTCACCAGATTAATATACAGTTAGGTTTATTTAATTGTGTTTTCAATTTTTAGGGATTGCTTTTTTATATTTGATTTACTTTTGAATATGTAAGACATCAATATGATTCCAAAGTCAAAACTAATTATTCGTATTCAGAAAGTTGTGTTTTCATTTCTGTCCCCTTGACCCTATTCCTTACTTCCCCTATGGGCAATTTTAAATGTTTAGTGTTATTTTTAGCAATATCATTATTATGTTCATTTTTCCCTACCTTTTTAAAGTTTATTTTTTAAAGTGAGAGAGTGCAAGCAGGGGAGGGGCAGAGAGAAAGAGGGATAGAGAATCCTAAGCAGGCTCCATGCTGTCAGCGTGGAGCCTGATGTGGGGCTCGATTTCATGAACTATGAGATCATGACTGAGCCAAAATAGAGGTGAACGCTTAACCAGCTGAGCCACCCAGACACCCCCGTATTTCATCTTTTTGTATAAAAGGTAGCATCATGGTTTTTTTTCATTTAATAGGATAAATGAATTAAATTTTAACTAGTCCTATGTATTTACATAATAGAATTATATTTCTCTTTTACTATAAAAATGAGTTCTCATATAAATTAAAAATGAGTTAAGACTAGATTATTTTGATAATTATTTAAGAGCTAATACATATATATAATTTTCATCCTTTTGAAGGAAGAAAAAGGACAAAAATTTAAAAATTAAAATTAAGATACCATAAATATATAGTTAGAGATAGGTATAAATAAATTTTATTTTATTACTTAAAACAATTTTTAATCTTTATTTAAAAATTTTTTTTGAATGTTTATTTCTTTTTTAGAGAGACAGAGACAGAATGCGAGTGGGTTAGGGGCAG